TTGTTGGGGCCTCGTTCCACATTGTCACCCCTCCTCCTTGCCCTGTGGCTTCCGTCACCGGAGGACAGCACTCCCGAGGCTGGGTGCTCCTGCTCCTGCAGTGGCCCTGGAGCAGGCGGAAGCAGAAGGGCAGTGCACCTCCCTCCTGCGACCATGCCTGATGCGCATCCGGTCTGCTTGGATCTACTTTGGGGCCTACTGGACGGCTCCATCAGAGGCTGCAGCTAGGGTGGCCCTGGTTTCCTGGAGTCCCTTGGACCAGAGGGAGCACTTCTCAACTGTCCCAGAAGCTGAAGGCAGACTCGGCTAGGGGCCGTCCTGCCCTGCCCTGGGAGCTGTTGTCACCTCCCCACAGGGTCCATGCCCTGCCACTTCTGGGGCTGCGCTGTAGCTGGGGGCGGGGGGCACAGAGAGGCACCGGGAAGCACACCCAGGTCAGAGCGCTGGGCCCAGGTGGGTGCCCTGACCGAAGGGTGCGGCCCCAGGGCTCTGGGTCTGCTCAGATGCCATGGGTGGACCCCACTGTTAACGTACACATCCTCAGTGTGGGCGACACACTGCTCGACAAGAGAGCATTTTTACCTGAGTTCTGCGTTGCCAGCATCTCCCCTCCTGCTCTCCCTCCCTCCCTTAGCCTCCATCGCCTCCACACAGGCAAAATGTCAGCAAGAGGAAGTGATGGTTACATAGTTGGAATATCTATTATTTTTCTCTCATTTGAATGAGTCATTCTTTAGTTGAAAAGACCCTCGACTTTGGCCGTGTCTTCTAAAGAATAGTGCTGCTTTTATTCCACGTCTATATGATGGCGTTGAATGGTGTCAGAAAGAGAGGAGCTAATTCACAGAATGGCAAATTAGTGTCCTTCTTTATGGTTGCGTATTGAAAAAGAAGAGCGCAGCGAGCCTTTAGATTTCCCTGTCTTCATGAGAGCTCGCTCCCAGCCAACTCGCATGCTCCCCGGAAGGCTGAATGCACTCTTTGTGCCCTCGCTAACGTCACGGGCCTGATTGTATTAATATGTTTCTCAGGGCACAGCTATTAAAGCAGTTTTCTACTCCACCATCGAATATTCATGAAAATACAGGCTTTTCGTTTTGATGCCGCATTCTTTAAGTAGAGAAGCTTTCATTGTTTTCTCCGGGCGCTCTGGGTCAAAAGCACCAGTGGCTTCTCTTGGGAATGATGGCATTTCCAGGGCTTCGGATATAGAAATAGTATAAGTCATGTTTGACGCAGCTGCCAGCGCTGTGCACATGAGTGAGTAGGGGCCCGGGTTCTTGTCTCCACAGCTGGCGCGTGGGCAGGGTCGGGCTCTGTGTGGGCTCGGTCCCCCGGGCCCCTGAGGCTGGTACTGGGGATGAGAGGCCATGTCCCAGGAGCCTGGGAGGGTCTGCTTGTCTGTACAGGTTTGAATCCTCCTCCTTGTACCTGTCATGGAGGGGAAGCAGGGACATGGGACGTAGGCAAGAAGGGCTCTACTTCTAACTTCCACAGCAGAGTGAAGTTCTGTGTGGTCTTTCAGGGTGGTAAATCAAGACACTGATCACGTCCCTTTCCGGCGGTTGGTGGAAATGGACACAGTGCTTCAGGGAGCTCGATGGTAGCCTCAGCTGCACGCCAGCTCGTCTGGTCTTTAGTTGCACAGAGCCAGCCAGATCCAGGCCAAGTGCTGGCACAGAGAGGGTCCTCTGGGGCCACCTTGCATCTCGGCAGGCTCTCGGCCTCATCTCTCGCTGTTCTTGGTTGTCGGCATGGACAGTCCCACAGCATTGTGGGGAGGGCTCCTGTCTCTGGTCAGCACACGAGTTATATATCCACACCTGCAGCAGGTGGGGCCAGTAGCTGCCCACGGGGCACCTCTGCCAGGCCTCTCTCTTCTGTGAAGTGAGAAGTGGGAGTGCATGCTGGTGTGAGCAGTGGGTTGTCTTCTTGTGCCTAGCATCTTTGGTGTAGCCTGGTCACTATGTGAGATCTGAGGTCACCACCTGTGGCATGTCCTCAAATGGGTCACGTTTAAGCCCCACCCAGCCCAAATGACATGATACACAGCGAGTAATACTGCATACAAAATGTGAGACAGTGTGATTGTTTTATTAATTCTGTATGCTTTTTGAAGCCACAATATCATTGATCGATCAGACAAGAATACGAGACAGAGAGACATTGTAAGCATCTCGCCATGAATACAGACTCACACTTGGTACAATGGTAGCAGACTAAATCCATCAGTGAGTGAGTGTGTGTATAAGCTAGAAGAACAACAGCAGTGTGACCCTAGAAAGCAGGGGCAGACTAACCGGCCTGGGTGGTCTGAGAGGTTGCAGGAGAGCCCTTCTGACCATGCAGTGGGTGGTGCAGAGAAGGAGTTGATTGGCAGAACCTTCCACGAATAGCGGCTGGCATGTCACAGCTGGCCCAGCCGGATGGCATGCCTGACCCTCTAGTGTGCTCAGTGGTCTCTAGGCTGTCATATCGAGTTCCTCCTTGCTGGGGTTACTGGGCAGCCGTCCTCCCTGCCCACCGTAGTATTTCATCCCTTAGAAGGAAGACTGAGGGGAAGGAGGGAAGATGCAGACATTCCTGCTGCAGGTGTGGGCACTTAGCCAGTCTGCTGACCAGAGACAGGCGGCCTCCCCCAGTGCTGCGAGTAGATCATTGCATGAATTGGCTGCTAAAGAAGGAATTGTAGATAGTACATAAATTACAATATTCAGAACGAAGAAATTATCAAAGGAAACTCCAACCTGATGACTTTGCTTTTATTTGCATAACTCTTACATGCAGTACTGTAATGTATGACAGAACATAAAACTACAGGACTGCTCTGTACAGTACAGTCAGCAAAAATCACAGTGCTGTAACCAAGCAAGGTGTGCTATACAAAAAAGACACCGAGGCTCTGTAAACAAGATGTACACAAAGACCAGGTTGTAAGTCTAAGAAGCGGGCCGTAAGTCCAAACAGTCGTTGAACAGGTGAGCATTAAGTGAGGGGTGCCTGTACTGATGTTTTATAGAACTGGCATTGTTGACAGATTCTCCATTTTGCTATATTTCATAATAAAATCGATCAAAAAAGGACAGAGAGGAAATGGTATGAGCCAGTCTTTACCCTCATGGGAGTGTGGGGCAGGTCTTGCCCATTGACTGCACATGGATGACACCTTCTGCTATGTCAAGCCTGATACCCACTTAAATGTGAGTGCCTGTGTTTAAGCATATCCCTAATATTTGGGGAGGAAGCAGAGGAGAAGCCCTGGCCGGTTTCCACCTGGGGCTGAATAGGAGGAGCCTGTGACACATGGGACCCATCAGGTGTCCAGAAGTTCCCCGCTGCCTTTGGGCAGTCTGGTCTTGTGCCCTCCAGGGAAGTGGCCTGAGTGGTCCCTGTGGCCAGGGCCCAGGTGCGCTTGGGTTCCAGCTGCTTCTGGCTCTGTGACCTCTGTCTGGCCAGCCGTGGGGAAACCCTTGCAGGGCAGCAGGGCCGGATCAGAGATAGCTCCAGACACCCTGGAGTGGGAAATCAGCGATTCCTGTGCATATTCCAGCAGCGCTCCTCCATCCTGGGCTCCGTGGGCCCTGAAGCTAGGAGGATTCAGGTGTCTGTTGAAGCTCCCAGGAGCTGAGCAGCAGCTCGCATTTGGGGCCCCCAAACCCAGGACTGCTGCACAGCAGCCTTTCCCTCTCGGCCTCAGCAGACCGAGGCCACACCTTGGCACCGGGGCCTCCAGCCATTTGGGGATTGAGGACAGCTAGGGTCCTGCTGCCTGAACAGTGGCTGCAGAAGTGCTCTGGACTGAGGGGAAGTGCCTCCTTGTAGACCGCTTACCTGTGGGCTGTGAGACTGTGGAGCAGAGTGCAGTTTTTTTGAAGGAAAGGTGCTATGGCCAGGGCTTACTCTGAGGTTCTACAGGACCTGGGATTGGAAAGCCATGTGGGCTGGATCAGGTCCTGGGGCACACAGTAGCACCCTCAGGAAGGCGCCTTGTCCATGCGAGGTGCTGGGGATGGAAGAGACAGGAGCCACTGGACCCATGTTGGCACTGGCGCCTCCATCCAGAGCCCCTCCTGGGGGTGAGGCCCAGGGTGGGTGTGGGGTCCTTTCAGGGACAGAGCCTGTTGGCAATGGGGCGTGGTATCCCTGGCCCCGCCCCAGTGCTGCCTGGCTCGCAGCAAGTACCCACAGGCCACGGTGCTCACACCACCAAACTGCAAAAGGTGCGCATGTGGCTACTGCCTGCCGGTCACAACAGAAGCCTCCTTCCTTCTGTTTGCTTTTCTCTCCTTGGTACTGCCTTGTGAGGCCCGAGGTTGGTTCAGTGCTGCTTGCGTTCAGTTGCTTGTAGCCTTTCTTAGGTAGCATGTTAGTACAGCCGGCAGTGCTAGAGTCCAGCCCTGATGAATGTGCTTGTGCCACTCACCAGGAGCGCATGTTATTGGCTGCAGTCGGGTAAACATATTTTCCAAGAGGGCACTCATTTTCCATGGAAACCGGCTCTCTGCTCGAGTGTCTGTCTGGACCACTTTTGTGGCACACAGTGTTCCTGGGACCTCGTACACAGTTCTGCAGTGCACTGGAGGCGAGGAAGGACAGAAGAGAAGGGTGCCCATCCACATGCCTGCAAGCAGCTCCTTCCTTGGCCAGCCACAGCCTTGGCTGCTTTTCTCTTTATTGACTTGTAAACATGTCGTCCTCGAGCCAGCTATTGGGCCCGTGATGGGGTCCTTAGCAAGCGAGGCCTCCACTCCTGGAGGGAAGTGGGGGAAGAGGTTTGTGCAGGCTGTCTCCTGGTCTGACCTCCTCCTGCCTTTGTGATCTTGTGCTTGAGGAACCGAGGCCCCAAGTCCTGTGCTTGCAGCCTGCTGGGACCAGGGCCAGCAGGGGGATGAGGTGTCAGATGGGCACCTGTGCCAGCTGCCACTCGGGGTGGGGTGAGGGAGGGGTCCTGGGGCTGCTTGGCTGCCGGGCTGACTGGCTCTGCTCTGTTCTCTCCACAGTGGACGTGGCCACAGCACTGCCCTTGCAGGTGGCCCCCACAGCAATGCCCATGGACCTGCGCCTGGACCACCAGTTCTCGCTGCCTGTGGCAGAGCCAGCACTACGGGAGCAGCAGCTGCAACAGGAGCTCCTGGCACTGAAGCAGAAGCAGCAGATCCAGCGGCAGATCCTCATTGCCGAGTTCCAGCGGCAGCATGAGCAGCTGTCCCGGCAGCACGAGGCCCAGCTGCATGAGCACATAAAGGTGAGGCACTGCAGCCCCTCTGGGATACCTGTGTCTCCTGCCCCGGGTCAGTCTTGCCCCATGGAGCGCCAGCACCTGTGGGCCAGATGACCTTCCCTTCAAGGAGGGTGCAGAGGACTTGGGCTGCGTGTCTGCCTGCAGTGGGGCTTGCATAAGTCGCAGAGGATGCAGGATATAATGAGCAGCACTTTAGAGTCATTGTGTGGAAGAGTTCTTCTAAAAAATATGTGCAGGAGTAGAGTGCTCGTCAGCAGGAGGAAGTACTGGGTGGTTATGGTCATTTCTAAGGTGTTTCCAGCTCTGGTTTTCTTCTGGGGCCTTTTCTCTTTTCTCAGTTTTTCCCATTGACCTTTCATAACTGGCAAAAGATTTTTTTTAATTTAGAAGGAATAAGAAAAAACTGTTAGCCAAGACCTGTTTATTCTCTACAGATATCTAATCTGACCCCATTTAAAAAAAAATAAGTGTGAGAGAAGTGTATTAAGGACATACAGGAAAGTTGTGACCTCGTCAGGCAGTGATGTCTGTGATCCTCACCTCCTCTTACTGTAGGAGGACCCTGTAGAGCAACACTGTCCAGTGAAACGAAGCACATACAGCTGTTTTAAAATTATGGGGATAAAGTTTTTAGTAGCCACATTAAACATAGCAAGAAGCCCTACCCAAACGAGGCTCACAAGTTTTCTGTTGCTGTGTCACGAAGTCACCCAGACCCTTAGCAGCTTTGACAACCACCTGTGTCATTTCACTGTCTGTGGGCCTGGGATCAAGACTGCAGTCAGCCTTGGCAGGGCAGCTCATCTAAGGGCTGCCAGCCGCACTGGAGCTTGGGCCTCCACACTCGCCATGGTGTGGTGAACAGTGGCTACTGAGGCAACGCATCTTGGAGCCTGGCCTGCCCTGGAGGTTGGGCCCAGCAGCAGCTCTGAGTCCCCACGCAAGGGTGTGTGTGCCTCAGAGGCAGCCCAGGGGCTCTGTCCTTGGCCTTTGCACTGCCGTGCACCCCCTGCTACTGGAGAAGGGTACCACAAGACACCTTTGAGATTGGACCTGCTGGTGAGGCAGCCTCAGCATTTTCCACAGCTCCCACTCTGTGCTGCAGACCGGCCAAGCTCACTTCCCTGCAAGGGCCCTGGCCGCAGCAGCACGTTCAGCCCCAGCTTTCAGCCCTGGGAGCAGGGCATCTTAAGCTGGCCTCAGCTGGAAGGAACAGTCAGCGGGTCGTTCGAGTTCATGCCTGCGGCCCACATGGTGGCCCCCCTGTGCTGCCTTTCAGTCCCTGAGGAGGGCAACCTCACTGGGCCACTGTTTCATTTACTTTTTGAGCTCTAGCTTCATATTTCTGTGACTCCTAGAAGAAGACTAAAAAGACATCTTGGCTCCTGGTGACAACTCCTTCCTCAACAGCAGCATGGGGCACCATGGGCTCTCGTTGTCTCGTAGAAGTGGGAAGGAAGGGCCACCTCCTGGGCTGCAGTCCAGTCCAGTTTCTCCCTGTCGTGTCTGGACACCAATGGGCCCAGCTGCTGTGTCCATGTCCCCCTGACCTGGCTACTATGGGACATGGCAGTGTTTGTGCAGACCTAGAGCGGAGCCTGAAGTGCCAGGCCCAGTCCCCGTGACTTGTCCCTGTTGTTTCCCGCCTTAGGGACACTCCTGTCCTCTTGTGGTTTTGTGCAAGGGAGCCTGATGCCCTGGGTGACTGAGGACACACTGGGATTGGAGGTGTGGCCGCTGGTGCAGAGAACTGGAAGACTAATGTTTTATGTTCTCGTTATATGTCAGTTGAATTGGTAGCTTTTATTAAAAGTAGTGGGGCAGGAGGGGCACAACTCAGAAGCAGGTACATCCTACACCATGAGGGTCCATCCAGGGCAGTACTGGGATGCAGAGAGCATGGAGACTTTCCGGTCAGGGTCCCATGGGTGCAGTGCCCACCTCCCTGATCCTGTGGCAAAGCGGAACAGCTCAGTGCTACAGCCAAGTGTTACAGCTCAGTGTCACAGCTCTGGGTCACAGCTATCAAAATCTGAAGACTCAAAAATCCAATGGTCACTTGAAGAGGTGGAGAAAAACCTTTATTATGCCAGCGGGCTCAGAGGAGTTCATGCTTGAAGTCTGGTGCTCTACCAGAAATGAGAGCCTCCTTATATAGGGACCTACAGGGTAGGTGAGCATGCTCACAGGAGCAGGGGGCTGGAGTTTAACAACATTCTTGAAAGGGGGCATAGCCTAACAGAACATTCCTGAAAGGTCACAGAATTCAAACAGTCACTAAACATTTTGATACCTTGGGCAGGAGCGCTGGGCAGCATGAACTGTTAATTCCTGGAACAAAACATTTTGTGGGGGAAAAAAAACATGGAGGCAAGTCAGGGGCCTCTCTTACTGTGTATTACAGCTCTGTCACTTCCTCAGAGCAGGGCTAGGGGAAGCAGAGCTCAGGTCAGCGCCAGGAAGGGACCCCCACTTGTCCCACCCAGATGCTAGGCCTTCCAGAGCTGCCTGTGGCCCCAGAAACCTGGCTCTGGACCTAGTCTCTGGGCCAAGATCCCAAAAGCAAGGAAGCAAACGGAGTGTTACCTTTCACTCTGCATTTTAGTAGTTTATTTTTTCATTAAAATGGAGATCATAAAGGCCTTTAAACTACATGGTTGTATCATTGCATTAGCAGGCTTTTATTTTGATGGTTTAACTCTATACCACATGTTCACGATGACTGGCAGTGGTATTGTCAGACAGACTTCTTGGACACTTAGTCTAATTAGTGTCATTAAATCATCAGTGGACTCGAAGAGAATTTTATAATTGGAGTGGGAGTCGTTTTTAAAATATAACTTAAATTGTTAATTTGGGGTAAAAAAGGCCCTTTATAATGGCTTCTAATGCCCAGAGTCACGCATGTCCTTGATGGCAGAGGCAGAGGCAGGCCCCTCCTGAGCCAGGGGAGTGGCCAGGTGCAGGCGGACCTCCCGTCGCTGGTTGCACTTGCTGTCCTGGTGCCTTTGTTTAAAGCCTCACAATCCTTTCTGTCCTGTTCAGCTTCCTACATCTCCATGTTGCCCGTTGTGGTTAACTTTATCTCCATATGCATAGCAGTTGCCACTTTTCCCACTTACTGTCATTTTCTGTGCTGCTTTTGCTGTCATAATGCTGGTCTTTTTCTCATATGGCATTATTTTAAAGGTCCAGAGTATGTTGTCTCTTGCCTGTTAGTTTTGTTACAAAGTAGTTGTCCACTTGTCCTCATTCATGACTCCAAGTGTTCTTTCTGAAGAGATTAGCAGAGCCCTCTGTGCCCTGGTGGGAGCCTGCTCGTGCACCTGTGTCTGTCCGCCTTGCTCGGCGTCCTGCTGCGCCACTCCCCCGATACATGCCTTCCGCTTAGGCTTCCTCAGCTCATCTTGCCTGTTCCTCCAGCTGAACCCCAGAACTGTTGCTCAGGAAGTCTCCAGACCGTTCTGGCGATGGATGGGAGTTGCAGTTGGTAACCTTCCTCATACTGAGTTTCACCCCAGGGGATGATGTGAGCGCCTGATTTGAGCCTGTCCAAGGAGGATGAGGGCCTGCTTTTTATTTTTTCATGTAATGCTCATAGATGTCATATTTAATTATTCTTAAGGGGGGTTTTTATGTTTTTGCTTCTATTATGATGAATCTGTTTCTTCATTGTTTTTTCCTCCTTGGTCACTGCTAATGTATACACAAGCCTTGGATTGGTTATTTCAGGTGTTGTTAGCTGCTAACGTATAGAATTTTCTTACTAGTCCTAATAGGTGTTCGTTGATTATTTCATGTTTTATAGGTTCATAATTTCGTTTGAAAGTAACTACTTTTTCTCCTTTTTCTATTTAATTGCATTAACTAAAACTTACCCTAACAGTCGTCAGGATCTTGACAAAGCTATGACAACCCCTGTCACGGTGTGGGTCCTCAGCATGGCATGTCCGGGGGCTGAGAGGCTGACTCGAGCTGTGGCTGAGTCTCTGTTTGGGGTCCTGCTTCAGACACCCCTCTGTCCCTTCCTGTCGGCCAAGGTGCTGTCTCCCTGAATGGCCCTTCTCTTGCCCTGGTTGTATGGCTTGGAGATGAGGGAGAGGTCACACTGGCTGTGGTCACTTAATTCATTATGGTTTATCCATAGGAACAATGCAAGGAAACCCCCAAAATCACTTTTCTGAAGTGTGAGTGACAGTGAGAGAAGTGTGAACAACACAGTAAATTAAAATGTCAGAGTACGACCCCGAATTTATAAATCTACAGATACCTACACACAGTTTACATAATACATAAGATTCCAGGAGCATGCTTCAAACTGTAACCGCTTTCCTGGCTGGTACCGTTGGGTAATATTTTCTTTTGTGTTATTTGCAGTTATCACTGGATTTGGATTTGTCTAAACAGCTGTTCTTAAAGTGGCTTTAGTGATAACTCGCCAGTTGTGCTTTGGCATTGTGCCTAGAATGAGGTGTCAGTTTCTAGCTGGTGGGACGCTGCCATGTGGTCTGCGTGTGGGCCCGCCTCACAGGCAGCATCAGGGCATAGATGTAAGAGAGGATTGTCCACTATGGAGCTGCCCTGCCACCGTCCTTACTGGCCACAGGTAGCACGAGAACTGACCCTCTGCGTCCAGCTTTGTTCTTAATCAGTGTTATGTATATACGTGTAACACTCAAATGAAGACAAAGGACCGCATTTCACTGCACTGATATTGTGTGTATGTGTTGGATGATACCATTAAGGAGGGAAAGCGCAGTAGGGTCCCTGCAGCTCTCTGGTGCGTGCAGTGCGTGCAGCTCCCTGCAGAACTGGGGGTTGGCCCATCTTCGGACCTTGAAGGTGCCTCTAGGTGAGTCGCTGATCTTTCAGTGTGAACACAGAGAGGACCAGCCTCCTGTGGACAGGGTAGCTGTGCCCTTGTTCCTGGTAATGGGAGCTGTGTCACCGTGACATACCGGGCTGGGCAGGGGGCTAGGCATAGTGGGAGTCACAGACTACCC